TGCAGGGAACATCATTGTCACCGCCGTCCTCTTCACAGCGCGCTGCATGTGGTGGTTCGGCATCGGCAGGCAAGCCACATCGAGCAGCGACAAAGCTTCAAAGTCGCAGTGACATGGTGTTGCAGATCAGCATCTTCCAGTCAACCGGGTCGCTTCTGTCTGCTGGAGCCGTCCGATTCACTGCTGCAAGGTGTGCGAACTCATTGCTCACTGCCCCCCTTAGTTTTCGTATACCACCGAGTCCCACTGTGAAACGCATCAGATGCCATTCCGCACGCGCTCATGCGCCTCCACATTGTGCGTCCATCCTCTCAACTCTCAAGCACAGGCTGTGGCCGGAATCGTATTGCATATGTGGAATGCAGGAGAGTGTTACATGTGTTGGCTGTCATCGAATCAGGCTTGCCATATTCACAACTCCTAGCTGTGACGCGAGAGCGCGGCATTGGGCGCGCGCATGGTTTTGAAGATTTGTCGCCTTTGTTGGATGAGCGACTTAGACGACAGTGCCAGCATTGGAGGCGATACGAGGCCACAAGTCGGCCTGCGATTCGGTGCGCAGAAGGTCGATTTGGTCAGTACACGTCACTTGGCTGGATAGAGGCACTTGGCTTCTCCTCCACTCACGCATTCCTTTGCGACCGGTCCAGTGATGGCAGAGCCCTTCATCTCTCCCTTGGGGTTTACAATCACACCGGCATTATCCTCAAAGTAAAGGAAGATACCATCGCGTCTGCGCCAAGGCTTTCGCTGGCGAACAACGACGGCGGGCATGACTGATCATGTGGATAGGGTCAGACCGACGTAAGCATAGTGATCAGCATCGCCGACAGGACAAAGTCTCGCTGCAGCGTAGCCTTTTCCACGTCCCTGCTTCGTGCACCTCAGCACCCATCTTGTTGCGAGGCCATACACTGTGCTACTGCATTCTAATCGGCTTCCGATCCCATCACGTCGCCCCTGCTCCCCTATGCCTAAGCCACTGTTTCTCGGCGTCACTCACCCTTCTTTCGCAGCTCAGGCTTTCCCTTCTTGACGGAGGCAACGACCATGTCACCAGCGGCAGCAGCTGGCAGACGGTTAAGTCTGGCTCCGACACCGTGAACGGCAATGACGAAGAGGTTCTTGGCACCGCTGTTGTCTGCGCAGTTCATTACTGCACCGACTGGCAGAGCCAGAGTGAGACGGAACTTGGATCCTGCTTGAGGCTTCGACATTGTAGCTGAAGAAATCGCACAGAT